CACATTATTGCTACATCTGAATGCCAGCTACCTATTGCACTGCTGGCACGTAGTTGGAGACAAAGGTGCCGCCAGTTTTCCAGCTCGCTGTTGATACAATGCAATACTGGTACAAAATGTCCGTATTCTGTGTTTTTAGTGTTGTATGTTTGTATATGAGTCTTGCGTCGTATGAACATTACGTACATGAGTTTAAAGTGTTCCCGCGAAAGTAGGTACTGAATTAGCTCACGCCAGGATTGCGTTGCGGAGATATTTGTAGCCCATACAATGTTTTATGGCGTCATTTACGACACTTTCTGTTTTTCTTGCCATTGTATGCACGTGAGTAGTGCCGCATGTTGCGCTTGCAAATCATGTTCTCAATGCCATTTTCTTTTGGTACAATTGGTCACCACTACATATCACTCGCATACACACGCCCAAGCAAGTCCGATATCAATCACTGTCCAGAAGTGCATGATGCATTCAACCACGCATAGAACACTGGCACACCAAGAACATGAACTCACGCAAAAACGAGAGGACTATTACACGACTTCGCATTGGACACACCGCTATCACACACAACTACATCATCACAAGAAGCCCGAGACCGAAATGCAACACCTGCAACACTTTCATCACTGTCAAACATCTGCTACTCACATGCCCACAATACCAACACCACAGGACAAACATGCAAACATACTGCAGAGACGCCAACATCCCACTAACACTCACAACACTGCTCGGGGACTTACACCCCGAGCTAACAACACTACTCATCCACTACATACACAACACTGGGCTGATAAATGACCTGTAAATCTCCTCCCCTAGAGCCAAGGACAAAAAAGCCAAAAAAAGCCAAAAAAGAAGCCAAAAAGAAAAAAAAACAGTATTCAAAACAATGAGAATCAAAATAAAAGACCCCAGAATGGCAAAATGGCAAAAAAAAAAAACAAAAAATAATAATAGAAGGGGCAATCCGGCTACCCGGGAGGAGATAGCTAGGAACCCTGTCCCACCCCTCAGCCCACCCTTACGAGCCAAGAAGACGACGGACACTTCAAGACAACGGACGGACCAACAACGAAGACGGACGACAGAACCGGGCCCAAATACAGGACGCTGTGGTGGCCCGTAAGCCACAAATACCATACCATACCATACCAGTGCATCATGCAGCAGAAGAAGCTTCATTGAACACACTCGTCATCATGAACGGCATCTTAGGAGCTTCATGAGTTTGGATCTGTGAACAGTAAGTGGAATGGGAGCATAATGGTACACGCTACCAAACCAGATTTTTTATAAACAAAAACATTACGTTTATTACCGTTTGGAGGTGATTTGTTTTATTTGGTCATTGTGTCAATGTCATGTTTGATCATATAGGTAACGAAAAGCGTACCTATTCAAAACGTTTATTCTTTGTCATGATGTGCCTGCAGGTTGTTTTCGCAGTATCCAATAGCAACCGTGTATGACCAGGCGCCCCTTGGACGCCTTGTCTAGCCACGTCTTCCGGGACTGTGTGATGACTGCCTCTGCAATCTCAAGTGCCAGTTTCTGCCTCCGGCCTATTTCTTTATCAAAGGATGTTGGTAACTGAACGACTAGCTCTGCTCCAAGATTCCAAATCGTTTTACGGTATTTTATGCCTACAAAACGTTAATATTTGCTGGACGCGTTGATGCCCGAATAGGATGACCTTTATTCCTAGATACAGGCATTCAACGTTGAATCAATTACGCTTCTAGCCTTCTGTTTATTGGCTTTACATACTTTTTATTAATATTTATCATGTGTCTAGCCTGCAATTCATTTTACTCACCACCATCGGACGTTACAACTATAAGCTTATAACTACTATATACAACTATAAGCTATAAGCAGCTATTCGCTGACTTGACATATGATATTTTCGCGACGACTCGTTTCGCCCTTCCGCCATGTTAACTAATCATCCGTTACATCTTTATGTCAACAGGTATAGTACAAGTCATCCTTACCGTCGATACCGTAGAAGAATTTGCCGTCGACCACGGAAAACATATTGTGCTTCCCGTTGCTGGTAATTTTTTATTTGTCACTTAGGTGACAGTTACTATAGTTCGTTTTCTTTTTAAAGTTCGGCCCTGACTGTAAACATCTTTTTGAACACAGCACGAGAATTACTGAGAAAATTGGTTAGCGCCCATTGATACCGTTGTGTTAAACGCGGTGCGATTTATTAATTAGTTCAGTTATCACTCCTGACAAATCGTCTATCCCTGTGGGGTTGTAAATATGAGCAAATACGAGCTGAGGGGTCTGGGAAATAGGAGCCAGAAAGAAATAACTTTGATAAAGTTTTTCATCAGTGAAATTCAACGTGCGACAACCATTTTCCTCTTCTTAGTAATTCAGCTAGCAATTCTCGTGCTGTGTTCGAAGAGACGTTTACAGTGAGGGTCGAACTTAGGACGAACTATGGCACCTATCAGCAGATATACGTTCATAATGCAACAAGGGAACGAAAAGCGTGTTCAAAACTTTAACTCATTGTCCTTATGTGCCTGCAGGTTGTTTTCGCAGTATCCAATGGCAACCGTGTATGACCAAGCGCCGCTTGGACGCCTGGACGCCTCGCCCAGCCACGTCTTCCGGGACTGTGTGATGACTGCCTCTGCACTCACAAGTGCCAGTTTCTGCCTCCGGCTTATTTCTTTATCAAAGGATGTTGGTAACTGAACGACCAGCTCTGCTCCAGGATTCCAAATCGTTTTACGGTACCTTGTCCATCACCATCAAGAGATCAACATTTTTGCAGGCACTTACGTACGGCTGGTATGTATTCATATTTGATTGTCAGCACGTTGTAGAATGCTTTACATTTTGTGTGATCATTTACTGTCCTCTTTCCTACACAATGCCAACAACAATGATGTTTGTCATCGTTTGCATGCATCTATTGGGATTGATGTTTGCGTTTACTGACAGACGCTTGTCAACATTTTCAGTATTGTCCGGCGCGATGCTGAATGCGACCTGTTATCTGTTGGATCTACTCTGTGAGCCCAGACCCCAGTGCAAGTGAGTTTTTTGTCACACCAGTGCCGGATCACTCTGTAATATGTGCAAGAGCCTGTGACTTTGTTTGCTTGGCTAACTAAATGCATACCTACGGAAAACCCTTCCAACGTTGCTTTGGTTTTTAGTAATTTACTGTACTTTTAAAGCAGTGCCTACACATATCAATCAAATACATTCTAAATACCTTAATATGGTCCTTTCCATAACCATCTAACCGAATTCCCGGTATTACTTTTTTCTGAAACCTTCTCCCTTGCTGGCAGTGGCACTGTTCAACTACAGCGCTGGACGTCGTCTACTTTTTGCTAGAAACAAATGTCATCACCCGTCCATGAACTTCGGGCTGCTCACAACTATATTGCCTTGGCAAGTTCTTTAAGACTTAATAGGTACTGGACTTGGGCTGCGAAAGCTAATGACAATTTGGGCAGCTTGATATTGCAATGGCTATGGTGCGAAGGTCCAATATGGCGAACAGCTCGACTATTCACCATTGTCAACGCTTATGATAGCTAAATATCATTTTGCTTGGTGTACATTCACGTCTCGTTTCCTTGCTCCATTTGTACCTCACCGGTCTTCCGTCACACAGGCTTCGGCTGCAGCACAAGCCACATTCATCGGCCCAATCATCAGTTATTCATCCTGCAAGTTTTAAGTCACTTCGTTGTGACCCGGACATCGTCATCTTTCAACGACTTCAAATGACATTTCATTCATCATCGTCGATCAGACTCATCATGTAAAGACACTTCCATAATGCTATCTGCCATCTACGTTTGTGCAGGAAGCAAATATCAGGTTGTTATTAGCTGCGGGCTACTCAGTACCGACTGAACTACTGGCAGTAGTGTGCGAGCACCTAATACTTGTATTGTGATACCAAAGCTAAAACAGATGATAGCTTAGCGTATAGCGCCCTACCGCTTTCCACACACACATAAACAAAACTTGACTTTGGGCATTAGCACCATGGCAGGATAAACAGGCAGTTTGGCTGTTTTTCACTGCTTTCATTGGCAGGTGTTAATGCTCATTCCCGTTTCATGTGATGTTAGAACAGCCCTTCACCATAGTCCTGTTTTCTCCTTCGCTGTTTTCCATAGACATCAGATGCGACATGCACCCCAACGATCGGTCAGGCGCATCACCGTCAATCCGGTCGCCTGTCAATCATTTCGTAATCACCGTCAGTCTTCGACATCGGCCAACACACTTATCCACATTATCGCCTTACTTTTGATCTTATCAATATGCAAGAATGAGTGCAAAATGCATTGCAATATTGTATCAGTTGATGTTGTATCGCAATGACAACGTATCCTCACCTCACATTTGTTGTGCATACTTGATCACGAATGCTAGTTGTTATACACAGATTCACATGGTGAAGTTTTACTCCGTTGGCGTTTTCTTTCCATTCTTGTAGTCGATCAAGAGCGATTGCAGTTGTACATGCGGCCTTACACATGCGTCCCTACATGTTAGCTGATTGATATGTTGGACACATTCCTGTGATTCCTGAGTGTGGTTCCTGTGACTCCAAGTAGTTCTGCATTGGTATTGCTTCACTTATGTTGTACCCAAACATCGTTTCTAGTTTTGTCTTAGCTTGCAGCTGTATGCCATGAACACACAGGGTACTGCGCATCTTTATCGTGACATTACTGTAGTTTTGTCGCCTTCGCGGATGATTAGGACCATGAGCTCAGTTGCAGATGCGTCCAGCAGCCACCGACATTCTACACTTAGTCCTATTATCGGTTCTTATCCACATACCAACATGATTTGAACATTTCACACGTTTAGTGATGAAATGAACAGGTATCATCTACTACATTATATTTTCATGTAAAGCACACTACAGTCTGTGAAAAAAGAAAACTATTTGGAGCAACAATCATGCCTTAGACAGTATAGTTGCCATAGATATTACGTTGTGCAGCGGGCAGGCCGGTGCACGAAATGGCGAGTGTGAATGCAGGAATGCGTGTGAAAAACTGTCTAGGTGTGGAGTGGCTGGTTTGTCTTCCGTTACGTTGTAACGGGCTCTTGACGTAGTCTTTTTTTAGTGAAACTAATCATCTTTCGTACTTGAATTAACGTAATTGAAATTTGGCTATCACATTTGGAGCCAACTTATTTGCTGATTGCGTCAAGGGCGGGCAGCGCGGTGCGTGGATGCCTTTTGGTAAAGCTCACGTCCTAATATACTATCCTGCCCTTACCAAGCGTGCATCCATGTTTCCTCCATCCGGCTCCTCGTGCCGCTGCCTGGAATATTAGCCTACGGCTAATATACCAAGAGATGGAAAACTCTTCATCACTTTGGATGCCTTATCTGTCACGGTTATAGGGGAAGACGGAGGAACACCGACCCCCTTAACCTTTCAGGATCTAGTCACGTAATTTTTGGCCACATGGTCAATCTCTCAGTTTCATTGGATTGTCGCATCAATTTTACAAAGATATCAACTAATTGTTTTCTTGTAGTTTCATTCATAATTGCATTACTACACATTTAGTAATGTTTACATTTTGGGGGTAACACCGCCCATTGGGTAACAACGCCCGAGCTCATCAGACAAATATTATTCGCAGATTGCTGAACTATTAAATTTTCCTTCTTATCGTACATTTCGAGGCGTTATTACGAGCGAGCGAGCGAAGCGAAGTCTTTTCAATATAACGGAAAAATCTCAGTATGAGCGGCCCGGCCCGGCCCGGCCTGTAACGCTTTTGAGAGGCATATATCTCAGCAACCGCTGGACCGATTGGCCTGCGGTCTTTTTTTTTTTTTTTGCTGGGTAACCCCATCCCTTCTACCCCGTAATTGACTACTTTTGATACAACTCAGTGACCGTCGTGGCACGTGCCACGTGAAAAGTGTTCAGGCTGTTTTGCAAAAGTCGTGATTTTGAGAGGCTCATATCTCAGCAGCCACCAGCAGCCACCTCCCCTCCCTCGCCGCGCCGGCGGGTCGGCCATCCGCGGCTTGCCGCCCGCCGGCTGCTGGCCGGTCAGCTGGCCGGTCAGCTGGTCGCCCGCGGCTGTCGGTGCAGTGCGGGATGCCTACTTGCGGGGGGCCGTCGTGGCGGCGGCCCGGGTGGACTGGGCGAGCAGTGAGTTGGGGAGCGCTGCGCTGTCGGTGCTCTAGTTTGTATTGCGTTCGCATGATACGGCTTGAGCCAATACAGAGTGAACTGATTGAGCTGAGCAAGTCTTTATATACATTGAAAAGTAAAGCACTTTTTACTGCATCTACGGTGAGATGCTAGATAAAATTTATGGTCTACCTAATGGTACCCATTACTTAACAATTAAGTGAATCATTTCGTCGCTAAACTCTCGTAAATTCGTATGTCCGCCTCACTATGGAGTTTGGACCGTAACGTATGGCCTTTGCTCAGACAGTATACGAACAGGTGACGGGGATACCTCCCATAGAAGGATGCGACACGATTTTACTGCTAAATAGCGGCCGGCCGCCGTGGGGACGTTTTTGTACGACTTATATCTCGGCAACCACTGGGCTGATACACGTGCGGTTTTTTGTGTGGGGTAGCTTTTTCCCTTCTTTCACATAGTGTGCTACTCTCGATGCATATGGGTGACCCCTAACGCACGTTCCACGTGCAAAGCCAAGAGGTGCCTGTTTTGTAATAAGCGCAATAGCTCGCGGTAATTACTGGGCCGATTGCGCTAAAACTTGGCATGGAGGTAGACACTTTCCAGGCGATGCATTTCCATGTGTCTTGGTAGGGGTGCAACTGCACGTGCGCACGTGCAGGGTGACGCTTCCAGATCTCGAGAACGGCTGGACCGATTGTGTTCAAATTTGGCATAACGCTTGATACCGATCAGTAGGTTGCAGTCATTTAGTATGTATTTCCATGTGCCACGATTGGGGTGCAACTGCACGTGCGCACGTGCAGGGTGACGCTTCCAGATCTCGAGAACGGCCGGGCCGATTGAGTTCAAATTTGGTACACCGCTAGAGACCGATTAGTAGGGTGCCGTGCGCAAGTCAGTTTGGACCCATCTTGCACGTGCGCACGTGCAGGGTGACGCTTCCAGATCTCAAGAACGGCTGGACCGATTGCACTCAAATTCGGCAAACATCTAGAGATCGATCAGTAGGGTGCCGTGCACAAGTCAGTTAGTATGTATTTCCATGTGTCACGGTTGAGATGCAACTGCACGTGCGCACGTGGAGGGGTCGTTTCAAGATCTTGAAAACGGCTGGGCCGATTGAGCTCGAATTTGGTACACCGCTAGAGACCGGCGAATAGGGTCCCATGCACAATGCAATTGGACACAGCTTGCACGTGCCTACGTGCAGGGTGTCGCTTCCAGATCTCGAAAACGGCCGGGTCGATTGCACTCAAATTTGGCACACCGCTAGAGACCGGTTAGTTGAGTGCAGTGCACGTCAGTTCGTAGCACACCCACTCCGATCTGCACGTGCAAGGCTCGTCCTCTCGTTTCGCGGCGGGCGTTTTTGCTGCGTTTACAAAGGTGTTTGCTCAAACAACCTGCGGTCCCGCGATGCGGAGCCCAGCATCGCAGATGCTGGTAACCGCAGGTTGTTTGAAAAGACAAACACTATTCGTTAGAATTGTGTTTTTCTATTGAAAAACAACCGGAGCGGTCCTTCTCCGGGCTATGTTTTGCAAGTCTGGCCGCGAATTGGGGCAACTTGGGTGGGGCCTAGACGAAATGTACAATCTTCGTAAAAAGTTCAGTGTATGGGCTCCCGCAGGCGATCTACCTGATGGCACCGGTCGCTACTCGCTTAAAACCTCGTGGCACGTGGCACGTGCGATTTCATTTTCTCCATGTTAAGTCAACGGGGTTTTGGACACTTTTTGCGCGATCGCCAATGGTGGGAAAACGGGCCAAGGAAGAGGTGGTTTTCTTCCCAGCATTTTATGGCAAACACGTTTGGGTACACGCTAGTGTGCGCCGTATACCCCTCAGAACTTCGTAACGTGTCTTTGCACGAGGTCAAAGTTGAACTTTTTTCGCTCCCCATGTTAAGTCAATGGGCGTTTTTGCAGAGACTTTTTCATTCGCTCATTGTACAAAATTATATGATACGATTTTGTTTAAACTTCCAGGACTTGTTGAGAAAAGACCATAGAACATGTTGTTATGCTTCTTTAAGCTGTGCAAATTCGTTTGTTCTTTTTAGGCTCGTTTAAAAATGAAAAATTTTAACATGGAAAGTCAATGGGAGCGTGTTTGCTGCTTAATAACTTTTTACAGTTGAGATATATTTAAGTGAAAAGTTGATAGGTTATACAACTTTTGATGCTCTTTCCAGTGATATCTAGAAAGTTATTGCACGTTGTGCCGTTTTTGAGGAATTTGGTAAAAAAGCACGACTTTACCGAGATTTGAGCTCAGACCTATATATGGTCTTGGCTCAGACAGTATACGAACAGGTGACAGGGATACCTCCCATTGAAGGATGCGATTTAATACTAAACATTAGCAGCCGGCCGCCGTGGGGACGTTTTTGTACGACTTATATCTCCGCAGCCACTGGACCAATACACTTGCGGTTTTTTGTGTGGGGTAGCGTATACCCTTCTTAGAAGTATTTTACTATGGACGATGCATGCGAGTGACCCCTACTGCACGTGACACGTGTAATACGGACAGGTGTCAGTTTTGTAATAAGTGCAATAACTCGGTAATTACTGGGCCAATTGCGCTGAAACTTGGCATGCAGGTAGTCACCTACCAGGCGATCCATTTTCATGTGCCACGGTAGGGGTGCCGCTGCACGTGCGCACGTGCAGGGTGACGCTTCCAGATCTCGTGACCGGCCGGGCCGATTGAGTTCAAATTTGGCACACCGTCAGAGACCGCGTAGTAGGGTGCCTTGCACAGATCAGTTGGGTCCCAGGTTGCACGTGCGCACGTGCAGGGTGACGCTTCCAGATCTCAGGAACGGCCGGGCCGATTGCATTCAAATTTGGCACACCTTTAGAGACCGATCAGTAGGGTGCCGTGCGCAAGTCAGTTAGTATGTATTTTCATGGGTCACGGTTGGGATGCAGCTGCACGTGCGCACGTGCAGGGTGACACTTTCAGATCTCGAGAACGGCCGGGCCGATTGAGCTCAAATTTGGTACACCGCTAGAGACCGGCGAATAGGGTGCCGTGCAAAAGTCAGATGGGACCATTTTGCACGTGTGCACGTGCAGGGTGTCGCTTCCAGATCTCGAAAAAGGCCGGGTCGATTGCACTCAAATTTGGCACACCGCTAGAGACCGCTTAGCAGAGTGCAGTGCACGTCATTTCGTAGCACACCCATTCCGGTCTGCACGTGCAAGGCTCATCCTCTCGTTTGGCGGCGGGCGCTTTTGCGACGTTACAGAGGTGCTTGCTCAAACAACCTGCGGTCCCGCGATGCGGAGCCCAGCATCGCAGATGCTGGTAACCGCAGGTTGTTTGAAAAGACAAACACTATTCGTTAGAATTGTGTTTTTCTATTGAAAAACAACCGGAGCGGTCGTTCTCCGGGCTATGTTTTGCAAGTCTGGCCGCGAATTGGGGCAACTTGGGTGGGGCCTAGACGAATCGCTCAATCTTCGTAAAAATTTCAGGGTATGGGTTCCTGCAGGCGATCTACCTGATGGCACCGGTCGCTACTCGCTTAAAACCTCGTGGCACGTGGCACGTGCGATTCCATTTTCCCCATGTTAAGTCAACGGGGTTTTGGACACTTTTTGCGCGATCGCCAATGGCGGGAAAACGAGCCAAGGAAGAGGTGGTTTTCTTCCCAGCATTTTATGGCAAACACGTTTGGGTACACGCTAGTGTGCGCCGTATACCCCTCAGAACTTCGTAACGTGTCTTTGCACGAGGTCAAAGTTGAACTTTTTTCGCTCCCCATGTTAAATCAATGGGCGTTTTTGCAGAGACATTTTTATTCGCTCATTGTACAAAATTATATGATACGATTTTGTTTAAACTTCCAGGACTTGTTGAGAAAAGACCATAGAACATGTTGTTATGCTTCTTTAAGCTGTGCAAATTCGTTTGTTCTTTTTAAGCTCGTTTAAAAATGAAAAATTTTAACATTGAAAGTCAATGGGAGCGTCTTTGGTGCTTAATAACTTTTTACCGTTGAGATATATTTAAGTGAAAAGTTGATAGGTTATACAACTTTTGATGCTCTTTCCAATGATATATAGAACGTTATTGCACGTTGTGCCGTTTTTGAGGAATTTGGTAAAAAAGCACGACTTTACCGAGATTTGAGCTCAGACCTATACATGGTCTTGGCTCAGACAGTATACGAACAGGTGACAGGGATACCTCCCATTGAAGGATGCGATTTAATACTAAACATTAGCAGCCGGCCGCCGTGGGGACGTTTTTGTACGACTAATATCTCCGCAGCCACTGGACCAATACACTTGCGGTTTTTTGAGTGGGGTAGCGTATACCCTTCTTAGAAGTATTTTACTATGGACGATGCATGCGGGTGACCCCTACTGCACGTGACACGTGTAATACGGAGAGGTGTCAGTTTTGTAATAAGTGCAATAACTCGGCAATTACTGGGCCGATTGCGCTGAAACTTGGCATGGAGGTAGTCACCTACCAGGC